AAGGAAAACAAAAAGAGAAGATTCTGACATTTTCTGACTACGATGTAATGTCTGTCTAATCCTAGCTATCAAGTGGATTGAGACAGGAAAGCAAATTTTCACCGAATCCGAGAGTTAGCTGCGAAAAAAATTACAAGTGAGGATTTTCATCCCCCGTCTTCGGTTACATAGTTCCAAAAAATGTGTAGGTGCTTTTTTCCGCTGAAAGACACTAGTGTTGAAGGAAGAATTTACTGTCATAAAGTCATTGTACTTTCTGGAGAATAAGCGTCTGACATATTGGGTGGGACTTTTCGTTTTTTAGAAATCTCGACCTCTGTTCAAGGGCTTGTTTCCCAAGGTAAGAGCGTGTTTCCCTAGGAAAGAAAAACATTCATTCAGAAGGTAGAATCGATTTTTAATATAATTTTATTACAAAAAACAAAAATTTTCCGGAGCCTTTATTTAGGGCTCCGGTGCGCTCCAGCTAGAATTATAATTTACCCCCAAAATTAAGAAGTACTGAGGCCGGGCTTCGGCAGGCTCAGGCATAATTTAAGCTCTGTCCGATACAGATTCTTGTGGTGTTTTATCAGCATGATTTTTAGAGTAAGTGAGAGTTGGAATGCTGATTGCATGTTTTGAAGTTCTTTTTGGTTTCTTTATACTAATTTCTTGTGTATTCGGGGGTCGGGCTTTGGGGACCCGGTTTTAATGTGTGGTTTAGTTGGCTTTTGAATTAATCTTTTGTTTTGCTCGGCTAATAAGAGGAGAAACCACGGGTCTCTGGTTGGCATCGTTTTGGTTTGAAGTAGGGTTGACCCATTTTTAATCATATGGTCCCGCTGGGACAAGGCGGATTGGGTCTCCCTCGAATAGTTCATAGTTCACCAGTCTTGCACACTGGAGATAAAATTGTTTTAGGTGAATCTTTACATTATGGTAACTTGGCGATTTTTTGGCGAAACTTTGGTGACCAACCCTGGTACAGCAACCTGCTAGTTTTGTTTTGGACGCCATTTTGTTTTCACGAAGTAAAGTCATTTTTTTTTTTTTTTTTTTTTTTTTTACTCAACATTTTTTCCAACAATCTGCTAGCCGAATTACGCTTATACTAGAACTTTTATGGAACAAAAGTGCTTAATCATGACAAAGGTTAGGTGCGAAATTGGGAGAAAGTGCAGAATCTACCAAACTGCTTTCGCCGCGTTTTTTTAAGAATTCGCACATACACTTGGTATCCATGTATGCACGTCGACCTATTTTCACTTAAAAAAAATATCCCACAGTTGCACAAAAATGACATTGCGCACACTCCCTTGTTTTTATCCTATGTACACGTCGACCTATTTTTCACTTAAAAAGTCAAAGAAATTTGACAAAAATCCAATTCTTCTTACTCTTGTAAAAAAGCGCTAAACAAATAAGTGGGCGATTCTGCACTTTAGCAGCGAAATTGTTTCTAAGTGGTTATTAGCTAAAATCACGATAGGAATTTTTCGGAAAATGTCGCATGACATGTCTCATGACCTCTCATTTCTCTGAAACAAAATAATCTGTGATTCGAACTGTGTACTTCTCAGATTATTGCTAAAGTCCTAGCTAGTAACCTTTCGCCTTACCAAAATGTCGCCAAACTACCTGTTACCATATTCTAAAGATTAGCCTTGTTTTATTCCGCACTGTGTTGCCACCGCTCGCTTTCAAATCGTTGAATTTGTTAATCAAAAAGTCATTACAGTTTTACAAAATGTGAAATAGATAATAAAACAAATTCGAAATTCGAGTTTGTTTCCAGGTACCCATGCTTGGGTGTAGAGCTACGTTATTCAAAATCCGATGGCTGTAGGTATTGGTTTTTTTTTTTTTTTTTTTTTTTTTTTTTTTTTTACATTGCGAGAAACATACACACATTTATGCAGATTCTTCATTATTTAGTTTCTTTCAATATAATAACAGAGCGATAATAGTTGATGGCAATAATTTGGAAAGTGATACAATGCATTTAAATGTATCGACGCAAAATGCCATTTCGAGATTAATATTCGAATGGAGACTAACGTCCCCTTTTGGCTAAAAATCAAAGCTTAAACAAGGGGCTCAAACTTTTAAGTTGGAGGAAACGAAAGAAATTGGGTGGTTCGCTCTTTTTTTTTTTTTTTTCCTTCTTTTTTTTTTGAAAGCTTCAAAGTTGATGACACAAAGTGATCCAAATACAAGCATTCCATAGTTTGCATAACAGCAGCAAAATCGACTGCACCTATAGCATGGATGTATAGGATGGCAGCAGTAGACGGTGTAGGTCAAGGTTAAGATCTCATGAACTCAAGCTCGTCTGCCTCCATCAGTCTTAAGTTTTAAGGTCACAACTGAGGAAACTCCCAGTTTTACTTAAGTTCAGCATTCCTGCACTGCCAAAAGTTATGTTAGAAGCAGTTTTTCTAAAAACGTGATGATGGCTTTAAATAGGGGTGTCTAAATTCACTGAGCGTTAGCCTTCCCCCCAATGCGCCGTGAGCTCTTCAGCGAAACAAAAGTATGTCAAAAGCTTCGTTTAGAGTTTAATGTTACGTCTGATAAAAATATATTCACTTTTTTATATAAAAGATGTCAGGAAATACAAAAGGTCCGTCAAAAAATGTATGCATACATTTACGAAAAAAATGCTTTATTGTGTGCCAGTACCGACTTTAATTATAGGTTAATAATAGACATATACATGTTCGGTGCCGCCCCCCCCCAACCAGGATAGTGGTTAGTGACTCCGACTGCCGTACCTAGGGTCCTGGTTCCAATTCCCGAGAAAGCTTGGATGTTTGTAGATGTATCGTATCTTTGCAGCGTGGGGGCACTTAAAATATACGGCGAGCCGGAAGCCCTCTCGAGAGGTTATTGGTAGAGGAAGAGGTATCGGAGACCCTTGGACCTGTCCTGCCCATATGCTCTCCTTCAAAATTGGGAGCGAACCTGAGCGGTCACCCGTATGGTGCCCAATGTTCTTGCCAACGACAAGCGCAGTCTTGACTCCTTGCCTCGCAGTCTTGACTCCTTGCCTCGCAGTCTTGACTTCTTGCCTCGCAACCTTGACTCCTTGTCATGCCGAATTTCTTGGGCTCTCTCTGATTTCAGACAAACGAGATTATTTGCAGCAACAACAACAGGAGGTTAGGGTTTAATACGATCTTCCTGCTGCTACATCTGAACAGTTACTTAGAATGCTGAAAGTGCAGCCATTAGCGTAGTGGCCAGACGTCTAGCGCAACGGCAAGCGGATGTGTGAAAAACTTTGACCAAATCTGTCCGCAGGAACTGCTGCACATGCCGTTAATTTCTTGACAAAGGACCTCCAGTATAACCAATTCCCTTCGTTACAGAGCATCCTTCAAGGTCTCCTGAAGCCATTTTAACTCCCTGTCATACGTTTTACCTCACATATTACAGTCATGAGAGTACCCACAAATGCGTTGAGTAAATGCCTTTCTACATACTTTAAAGTTAATTCAATTCAACTTCGAAATGAGTACGCAGATACTATCCGTTAAAATATGTATACAGTTTTCTGACGGGCCATGTAACATTTTAAGGCACACAGCGGAGTTCCTTTGGGCTTGTGGAACAGGACTCATACCTCTGTAACTAACTTGGTAATGAGATAGCAATTGCGAAGAGTATATTCAACATATTCATATGAAAGCTTGCTCTAATTAAACTCCTTTGTATGTTTCATTAATGGAGGAACATTACTCGTTGTCCATGATGACTCAAAAGTCATTTCGAAAGGTGTTACAGACCAGCAGTGGCGTAGCTACGATTCCAGCGCCCGGAAACAACTGAAGAATTTGCGTCCCTTTCTGTGTGCCAAATGAGAAAACATTCCATTAAAAAATTTCGTATCATCAATTTGGCGCCCCTCTGGATGCTGCGCTCGGGGACAAATGTCCCCCCTTGCCCCACCCTAGCTACGCCACTGCAGACCAGGGAAGAATGTAAGAAGGAATGATCCTTTTTCCCATGCATACTTTCGTAGTATACATAGTTAAAACGTCTTACGGACGCCTAGAAGATCCGATGGATCTAATGCCGGCAAACGTACAGTTAATTTTCATGTTTACTGCTGTGAAAAGCCTAATAGTTCCTGGTTTTAATGAGTAAAATTCTTAATGAAGGTTCATTGTTTTTTCCCCAAAATCTTTCATCGTGTGATTGTTCTAAAGATAATTAACTACATTTAAATCATCTCATATAATTTTAAAGCATTTAAAAATATATATATGATTCCTTCTGCGCCAGACTTTATACCCTTTCCAGAGTTTATAAAATTTCACATTCCATTACTGTGGATGGTATCTCCTTGCCTGAAACTTAATCATTTTCATTTAGCATTCTGAACAAGATCGCATTGTTAAGCAGTAAAAGTAAATTTTCTGCTGTAAAATTAAAACAGGAAACAGTGCCTTTCCATGACCAACAGTTGGAAAACATTTTCATATTTAATCAAAAATTTTAATGAGCTTGGTACAGTCTGATCTTGCGCATCTATGATTTTTATAAAGCAGGTCAAAATGTTCAATGAAATATGATTCTTCCTAGCTAGATTTACAAAAACTGGATTTATTTAGCTTAACGAGGAAATGTCCAACGCCCACGATTTGCACAAAGTTTCCGTACGAAACCTATAATAAAATTAAACATTTTTACGTTATTGATCAGGTTAAAATGATTAGAAAAGGCACGTTTGGTGAAATAAATTTGGAACTGGACAGCGTTTTCAACAAAAATTGACGTAATAGCTTTAATTTGAAACAACATATGTTTCGAAAATTTTGACCATATTGTTTCGTGTTACAAACAAATGAATGGACCATAGACGGTTTTTGCTGGAAACATTGTCCGCTTTCAAATTTGCATCGCTGATAATTTCTTGAACGTAATGAATTAATCTAATGGATCCTAACCTTTCATTGACTAGGATCTTTCTGATTAGTTTGGCCCTCCTAACCAATTTGACTGTTCTTGTGCAGAATTGGGTTCAGAGATGACGGGCAGCCGGGAAGACAAGACCGAAACTCAGTCTGAGCCTCCTCCTCCCTTGGAACGTGGCAGCCAGTGTGCCCTGGAGGACAGTGAAGCTACTGCCATGCCCCAGCTAGAGCGACAGAATAGTGTCTTCGATGGAGGGGGCAATCATGAGGGACGCGATGTCTTGCCTCACCTGAGTCCTCAGTTGTGGCCTCCTTCCAACACTCTTGCCTATCACCGGCACTTCGGGCCTCCCGAAACGGAAGAAGAAGAGCCGCCACCACTGCTTATGGGCGGAAAGACCATGGTGTGGACAAGAAGCCCATCCATCTCTGGAAGAAGCCGAATGCCGCCCTCTTCCACCATCACGTCATCCTCCTCAAAGCGGACGCCATCGCCGAAATGTACGCCCACTCCCTCGCCAACCGCTACATCGCCACAGTTTGAGGTAATTATTTATGCATATGGAATATTCTGAATTTGAGTTTTTGATATTAATAATTTTGTTTTGACCTATTTATTTGCATTTATAACGTATTCACTGTTTTTTTGTGTGTTAATATCTATCTTATTACATCTTGTGGTACAGTTGACAATTATACATCCTTTAATGCTAGGATTGCGTCGATCATTTCCAGCTATGATGCATACTAAGAGCCAGCGGTACATATACCGCGCCGTAAGTTTTGAGACTTGCATGAATTTCAGCTAATCTTGATGGATTTTTTTAAAATTATTAACTTGCGAAGACAATTGGTATTCAAGTGCATCATGTAGTGCATGGGAAACCGTGTTTTGTAAAGTGCAGTCAAGCATTTTTTATTTTGTATGTAGGTTTGGTAACTCGTACATGTTTTCTGTACCGTATTTTTATTTTAGCTTGTAATTTTTGTACCATATTTTATTTTAGTTGGAGGTTCAAATATCCGGTTACTGTAGATTTTTGTGTAAAATAGTAGTATTTTGAGAGAAAACACTCTTTTATATTTGACTAGCGCATTTTCTGGCCACAGAAATTACGAAATCTTTAGTCGTCAGCGATAAATATTGTACAGAAAATTTAAGCATGTGCTGATTGTAAAATAGTTTGTACCGTAATTATACAGGATGTTTCAGTAGATTGTCCTTCCAAAGAATCAGTTTTAATTTGCAGTAAATTGTACTGAAACGGGCAGTGCAGAATTTATGTATAAGCTACACAAGCTATAGCTTAGGGCCCCTGCACTTTCTTGGGGCCCCCCAAAATTTAAATATAGTATAAATATCGTATTAAAATATAGTATAACAGACTTATAAAGGGCCCCATATTTCAAATAGCTTAGGACCTTATCGTCTAAATTTGATTCTGGAAACGGGGCATGCGGATTACAGTATACTGCAGCAGACAGAAATGAAGCATCAGTGTCGTAGCTAGGGTTTTCAGCGCCCAGGGACAACTGAAGATTTCGCGCCCCCTACTGCTTGCCAAGGATTTAATTCTAAAATGTGTACATCAGTTTGGCGCCCCTTGGATTCTGCGCCCGGGGACAGATGCCCCCTTGCCCCCCCTCTAGCTACGCCCCTGTGAAGCATTAATTTCAAAATATACTAAAACTTTTCCGCACTAACGTGATGTTTCGTACTACCAATCGCTGTTTCCTTATGAATAATCCTAATTGCTTCATTAGTATTGCTGTTCAAGTTTCCTGACGAAAGAGGCTTATTTTTGTAAGCGCGTTTCAAGTAGCTGCAAAATAAATTTCGAGAGGAATCCAGCCAATTGGACGAAGTGACTACAGACCCGTTGAAACTCCGCTAATCATAGACAATCATCAGTCTTTTTTGACATAGGATAAAATTTCATTCACTTTCTTGAAAGACTTCTAATCGCAATGAATCATCTCTTTTTCATGAGTATTACCACCACATATTTCACATATCTCGAGGGCATTTGGATGCAAAAATTTCAATTTCTATCTAGAATGAGGAGAAATAGAGTTGATTCTTTCGAAAGACAACCTAAGGAAACATTCTGCAGTAAAATTTATTTCTTTGTTCAGTTTGCTGTGATTCCTTGTCTATAACCATCTTGCATGCAATTTCTCAACAGCTAGCACAAAACGTACTATCCCTCTATCGCCAGCCGCAGTCCACGTTTCCTTCCAATCGGCCGACATGTTCCAGATCCAGCCTGGAGAGCACGGATGAGGAGTCTTCCATTCAAGCCTGGCCACAGTCCAGCGAGACCCAGACCTCTGCTTCTTCGTCTTCTGTTTCTCCAGACACACAGGCTCTCAACCTCTGCGTTGCCTCGACGTCCAGGGACAGCATGGCGAAGGACGACGATGGCCAGCCAATGGTGTGCATGATATGCGAAGATCGTGCGACTGGACTACACTACGGGATCATTACATGCGAAGGGTAGCGTTTTTCATGAAATTGTTACTTTTTGAGACTGTATATTCTTCTCTTGGGTATTGCAAAGTCGTATATGTTTATTATAAAATGTTGAGCAATCTAGAAATAATCTTCAATGTGTATTCCACATTCAAATATTTAAAGGTAAATTAAAATATTTGTCTTTTGCCTAATTATGACTGTGTACCCTTTTTTGTAACTGAAAGTTTGTATGCTGTGATGGTGACATGGAGGAAAAAGAATATATAAGTGACATCAATGATTCGCGCCTCCCTTGAGGTATATAATCAGCGAATCTTGAGGTGAAAAGCTGTAGTGGTAACCTATATTGAGTCAAATTATTATGCTTTTAGGAAATTCTGAGACAAAAGTGTCCGCATGTGCTTTACAGAATAAACGAAGGAAAGCTATGTTCAAAGTATGAAAGCCATAAATAGTTTTCACAGGATGTTAGCTGCATGAATGTTTGATTCGGTTTTAATAGGCTATACGTTATTTAAAGATCAAAAGTAGAATTTTTCAATATTTTCAGTGAGTAAGAAAATTTTATAATAATTTTCAGTTCTTGAAATAAGTCTTATACAGGGTGATTCAGAATTCATCATCAATATTTGGTAGGGAAGTAGGGAACAGGAAAAGAAGGAGATTTCACATAGGAATGCATGGGCGCATGTGCTATGTAGTAGGGCAAAATGACCCCAATGCAATGATGGAAACAGCACATAAAAAGGAAATAGTAAGGAAAAGAATATTTATTACCTTACATGTAACATTTCTTTGCATCGGTTTTACAGACTTACAAGAGGTGCTCGAACTGCTGACCATGTGCTAGAATGCATGACTCACAACGGCGTTGCACGGACAACCGGACCTTCTGGAATATGCCTGGAATTTACATGCATAACTGCAAGTTCATTCCACGTATACCGGTTCATGTTACTTCTGCAGAGTCACTTAGTCGAATGACGACTGGCTGCACACGTCAAACAGCTGTGCTTATGTATGGAAGTGCTTATGTATACACATAGCGCCCTCTACATGACCATGCGTTCGTTTGTGCCCATACTTTCCTATGTGAAATCTCCTTTTCCTATTCCCTACCTTGCACCAAATATTGATGGTGAATTCTGAATCACCCTGAATAAAATTATTGCAATTACGATTAATAGTAGTATTTTTGTGTGAGCACATTTAATCGCGGATTAAATAGCTCAACTATGCTCTTTGGCCTGGGCCTAAGTCCGTTTATTTTATCCAGTTTTAAGTTCTTTTTTAAATGTTGGTAGTGTCCTAAACCTTAGCGCATATTTATACTTTAAGTATAATATGCGCTAAGGTTAATATTTATATTTTAAGTATCCAAGTGTGCAGGAATATGTTTTCCCTTTTAATTTCAGAATCTTGGAATACCTATTTGGAAAACGTTAATAAAGTTTACCTTTTTGAAATCAATCTTACTGTCTAGTTTTTCATAAATTTTTAAAAAATTTGCATAGCCTTCACAAAGTGTTTTTATGTAGGATATCTTTCGAACAACTCTCTATTTATTTCCTGCGAAATTAAGTTTGAGAAATAGTGCTATTTTAATTTTAGCGGTTCAGTGAATGGAGGCAGTTGATTCCAAGAAACATTTTGGATATCATTATTAAAAGTATCTTCTCATGATACTTCAAGTTAAAAAATGCGAAACTTTTAATATCATTTTTTTTTAATGTCTGATGGATTCTTTCTCTATTTTTTAACGTTTCTTAAGAGGAAAAAAAAAATTCTTTTGGAGAATTGGCCAGAAATGAAATTAATCTGTCTGGAAATATTGCCGACACTTATTCTGAATTCAGTATTAAATAAAGAGCTATTCAAAATGTTTGAACTAAAAAGCCGTCATTTCTTTTTTGTGATTCAATCTGTTTCTGTAAACATTTTATGTGTAAAATTATAAATACAACTCTCATTTCTACTTTTTTCACGCGATAGCTAAATGTTCATGTTACTGTTTCAGGGAAGAGGGAGACATAAATGCAGAATTCAGAATTTTTTTAACAGCAACCTTTTATAAATAATACTGATTGATTGTACTAGTAATATATTAAAAATTAAGAAAAATATACTGATTCTGAGCTTGTTCTAATTTCCTCAACGTTTCTTCCTTTCATGCCTTTTGTTCTCTTAGATTTCATAATTTTTATGAAACTGATTTCTTTAAATTTACAAATGCCAAATTTTTGCGTCATTTAAAACAGTTCTGTAATTAGATGTATATAGGCTGGGTAAGGATTTTATCAGGCGTGGTGCATAACTTTTAAGATGTAAACTAGGCTATTTAAATCAAATTTTAACCGTATTTAGTTACTGTAGCAAAAAGGAAAGAAAAATCGTTAAAATATTTACAAAATATTACTTTTGCGGCCTGGTATATAACTTTTAAGATGTAACCGTGATATTTAAATCAAATTTTAGGCGTATTTAGAAAATAGGGGAAAAATAGTAGTTAAAAATAATTGCAAAAAATTACTTTTGCGGGAGATCAAATCTTTATTTTTTACTGTAGCAAATAGAAAAAGAAACCGTCAAAAATAATTACAAAAAATTACTTTTGCGGGCCTGGTGTATAACTTTTAAGATATGACTAGGGTATTTAAATGAAATTTTAGCCATATTTAGTTGCTGTAACAAATAAATAAATAAATAAAATAAAAAAAAACGTGAGAAATAATTACAAAAATAACTTTTGTGGCTCCGGTGACTTTTAAGAGGTAACTAGAATATGTAAATCAAATTTTAGCTTTATTTATTTACTGCAGCAAATAGAAAAAAATATCATTAAAAATAATCACAAAAATATGCTTCTCAGAACGTAAAAGATATTGTTAGAAGATGATAAGAAATGGGTCGGTACAGTTTTTATTGTTGTTCTTGCATAAAGCTCAAAAGGTTAAATCACTGCAAGCAGTTACTTGAGAAGGCTTTCGGTATAAAGAAATGTACATTACAACAGTGATTCAAAGGAAAATATAATTTTATCCGGAGTCAACAAACTAAGTATTAAACTTTCAAATGTCTTTTTCTTAGAGGGGAAAAAAACTTACAGTAAAAAATTACTTGTCCTACTTTCATTTCACCTGGATGGCCTAAAGGCCAGTTTATTGAGGGAAAAAGGTGTGCTCTAAATTACAGACTTTTTAAATCTATCTTGTTTCTGGTTTATGACTTTCTAAAACACCTGGTGTCCTTCCGTGTCATCATTGGCGTATGTCTTGTAAATGCTGAGAAACCACAGACACTTGTGTTCTTCGAAAATATCTTGCATTTTTTACATGTGTTTAACGGAATATTTATTGCTATTTGTCAGCTATTTTGATGTAACACAATGTATCAATCATAGGTTAGATGCTGTTGCTAGCAGGTTTTTCATTGCTACAGACTGTGAGTGTTAGATGTACTGTTAAAAAAAAACTGAAGTTGAAGACATTAAGGACTTATTAAAGTTCATCGAATATTGTGAATGTATTTTTCGTTCATTATTATTTCTGAAGTAATCCCCAAGAATAATATCAAAGTGCTGTCTTTTGATGGGGATCATGACCGTAAGCGCAAATACGCATGCGCATTTCCAGTCAGTCTATTTATCAATAAGGTAGGTCACACCCCGTCTAGCTAAGCTTCATACAAAATGCCAACGATGGTCCTAATTAGTTTGCGGTGTTGCGTGGCCCCAACTTGCCCGCAATAGTAGTAGTGACTGCTATGAACTGGAAATTACACAAACTCTTAAGAAGGGTTTAACTCCCTTTTTATTCCACTTTAGAAGTTGCAGATCCGTTCACTTGACGCTCACAAACTACGCCGACCCGGCGGTTAACTAAAAATCGAAAAGTACAAGTAAAAATATATAACAGGATGAATAAATAACAAGGATGAATAAATAACCTAAATACCTACGAGGCTCTATAAACGTGACTAGCCTAACCGCGTTCTAAGATACAGCTGAGATTTCAGCAAACTTTCTGAATAAGAAGTTGAAAGATTCAACTAACTACCGAAGTAGGCACACAGGCCGAAACGCGCGGTTCTTAAATTTCTACCTAGCAACCTTCACGCTCGTGAATCAAGAAAGCACACCTACAAACTCGTTTCCCTTCTATTTAACTCAAAATACTTCTGCTGAAAATTTGAGTACTCTGCGCGTTCTACTAAAATTTACATACTCTGGCATTGGCAATTCCAGGGGAAAATAAAGGCTTGACAGGAAAGATAGCTTAAACTTAAAATCAATGTTAGTTAAAATAAATATAAACCCTACAAGTTTTATTATCTTTTTATATCCTCTTTATTTACATTTTCTAAACGCAGATAATAAAAAAGAAGGAATACACTAAAAGATTTTAATTGTTAAAACAATAACAAAACCTTGCAAGTAATGAAAGAACTTTTTCGAATCCTTCAGTTACACATCTTTGCTAGTCTTCTGATTCTTCAGCTATTTTGAATACACATCTTCAGCTATTCTTCTGAATAGCTTTAAATGTGGTGGCAGCGTAGCAACGGCAGTCCTGATTCCCGTGGTTGGACATATGTTAACTACATCCATCGCAGGACATGCCAGCGATAGGAACCCATAATTAATAGTATTATTCTCATTACTGGAAAAGTTTCATAATTTTCTTTTCGATATGCATGCGATATGAGACTTCATTCATTCGCAAATAGATTAACGAGGGAAAAAATAGTTTCTTCTCTCATTTTTAAAATTTGCCTTCTATACCACGCTGCTTGAAAACCGCTGTTTTTTTTTTTTTTTTTTTCTTTTATATTCTTACGTTAAGACATGTAAAAAGATTTGAGTTTACCAGAAATTTTTAATTAAAATTTGCGATAGGTTTCATACAGCTTGCAACCGATTGCACGCTTACCGATTTTATCTTTTCCAGCTATGTGTAATTAATTATGATGATACTAGAGGTAATTGTCAACTGATAATAATTATTGTCGCAATAGACTGAAAT